GTAGGCCCTAGACCGGGCTAGACCCATATGCTAATACGGTCCTGTAGTGTTCAGTATTTAAATGATTAAGAAACCTAATGTTTGGGAGAGGTAGTGTTGAATCTCAGTGTTTTAAGCCTTTAAAAACGAAAATATTTACAACATGAAAGTCATCATGATATTTTATATTATTTGAAGTACATAATAAGTTCTATTCTTGTTATAGAGTTATGTTATTATTATACTAAATATTACAATAGGAATAATATAAGTTTAAAAACAAGTGTACCTCTCATAAGTGATGTCCCCCAATAAGCCACAAAACAAAGGAATATATTTAATAAAACAAAAAATTAAAATAATATTGCGTGTGCGAAATGTTGCAACTCAGAAAGTTCACAAAATCGAGAATACACTCTCGACGGTTTCGAATAATAATGACCAAAAAAAATTGTTTTTAGCGAAAATGAAGTTAACCTACTGTAGTACTATTTCCTTAAGGTGAAATGTATTACTTTAATCATAGTAACATCATCAAATATACTAAGTAATATCATATGCTGACAGACCTTCTTCGTTTAGAATAGTTTTTCATACACAATGATTTTATATCATTGAATTCAAATTCAACATCATTCATTACAGTGACCCACTTGGCACTTGTGACCTACTGTACGACAGAGCGACATCTCCTTACACGCTTTTTGAATGAATAACAAACATGATTTTTTTTTAAACAATATATTAATTATAACCTATATTATTATCACTGGTTTCATAGTACTATATAGGCAAGGTGTACTTATAAGTACACTTTGTTTATACTTAATATAATAATGTATTAGCCATAAGGTATATCCACAGATAAACATTTAATATATTTCCTGAGATAATTCTTTAGTTCACGTTTTCACAAGTTGTAATTAGGTTTAATAATATGTCAATCAAAGTAAATCATCAATAAGATATTTTTAGTCTTGATCATACAATCAAAACGCTTGTTTTTTTTTAAATTTAAAATTAATGCATTTATAATAGTATTTAATAGGGTTCCTAATATTTTTCTGGCCGATACAAAATCAACAAAACATAGTTACGATAGATTTGACTAGCATAAATTATTTTTGTATAACTAGAAAATTATTTTCTCGTATTGATCACAACCACGATTATAGATAGTGCGCATCGTGTTCTGTACGTTCCCAGTATTAATTGTTGTATCGTTGTACGCTGTTAAGTCATATAATAAAATATGTCTACCGTAGATTCTAACGACACTGTAATGCTGGAGTTAACGGAAGGCGAAAAGATGAAGAAGATATTTGAAGAGCTGAGATCGGCAAAGCTCAACATTCCAACTAAATTTTCGACACGAGTTGGAAGTTGGCCGACGTTGAAAAGACACGAGTCTACCGTCTACGCCAAACGTGGCCACGACTTGTCATCAACCAGTCGTAGCAGGAGACTCCGAAGTCTACCACCAGTGTTTGTCCGCTCCGGCCGAGCTGCCCTGCAAGCCTTTTGAGCTTTCTGACGTGCTGACACAAAACGGACCCCCATTCAGTCCATCGGATCTCGAGAGTCGAGATGTCCGTACCAAAGGACGCAGGATCCAACGCGTCGCTGCAGGATTATGGTGCTGTGAATTCGATGGATACGCCGAAAGGAGTTAACACGTCATCGTGTAGGTACGTCCGAGCAGTCGGCGCTCGAACTACCAGCAACATCGCCCTAAGTCCGGGAGACAAGCGAATTTGATTTGAAGACCGTTCAGCGTAGAGTCGATGGTCCTCAGCGCCAAATATACATATAACTTAAGAGTTAAGAACTGGTGGACCACCTGGGACGGGAAACAGAATGCAGTGACGGCAACGAGCAGGAGTTGGTCAATGGTCAGTGACCCGATAAATCCTAAACGGCGTAGCTCAATATGGAGCCGGACGAAGAAATTCGTACGGCTCATGTTTTTAGGATGACTGCAGCCACTTAGTTGCTGAATGAAGTAATTCATTATTACCGAAATAATTAGAAAACTATTTTTGTTTATGAACTTGATTTACATAAATAAACTTGCAGCTTTGTTATGCTAGGTGTTATTATGTGTTACTTATGTTAGTTGGTTTTTAATTGAAATAGTATTATATTATAATCAAACGCATCAACATTCAACACCCTAGCATAAGATCAATTTATGTAGCTTGTGAAAATCGTAACTATATTGTAAATCTCTAACCTCTATAATATATTGTACCAAAAAAATCCTTTAATAAAAAAAATAAATTTTTGTATTAAAATTGATATTCAACTAATTAGGTTCTTTACAGTTATATTACTTAAAATATGTTTGTACAAAGAAAAACTATGTTCTGAAATAAAATACCTATGAAGAAAGTACAAAACTCGGGTTGATACTTTATAGTTTATACAACACAATATTTGATCAGATTTGATTCATCTTGTGTGCAAACACAGGCGCAATGTCAGTTAAAGGGTGGTTTTTAGTTATAAGTGTTATAACTCATAAAGTCATAAGCAGTGCTGGAGAGTTGCAGCATTTGCTAATTATTATTTATTTTTGGCTCTAGCAGATAGTGCCACTGAAACTTATGTCAACATTATGTTACAACTATCTCGAATAATAAATTTGAAATATCTGTTCTTTTTTTTTGTACTTGTATTATTATAAAAATGAGGGAAATATTTTATTCCTGTTTTAAATTTATTGACCAGTTGTCCGGAACACACTATTATTATCATGTTTTGCGACAGTCAGTCGCTCACAAAACTCAGACGACATTTGAACGATACTTTAATACGTGACTCGCGCTGTAAATATCATCACATTTTTTTATTCTTATATTTATGCAACCTAGCTAGTAGCTGGAACACATTTACCAACAATTCAATATTCTATTTTATGCAATAATGATTAATTTAACAAAATATAGTTTACCTTCATGGCTTCAAACAATAGGATACAATAAGGGTACCTAATCCGTGTTCGTTATTACTTGAATCGAGTTGAAATAATTTAAAGTTTTATGGAAAATGCTTGTATTGTCAGATGAGGTCATATTTTCAACCATTGGTCGGTATATCATACCAAGTATAAACTTTTTATTGTTTTCTCGTTAAATATATATTTATGTGAATATGTGTACGATGTACCTACGTGTAGTGTGTACCAGAAAACATAATAAACATACATAATAAAATATGATTTTATTTTTAATCATTTGATGTGGTGTCTCGAAAATTTAAGAGTTTTTAGAGTTCTAATAACTTAATTTAATGCTTTTACAAGATGTTGTTATAAATCATGACAATATATTTAATTTTAAACTTAATACCTACCTATTTAAATGATATCACTGCAATGATTGCCTGTTGTACATGCAGATAAGTAAAATACCTTCCACCTAATGCGCGATGGATAAAACAGTAAATTAAATAATAAACATTTCCTTTCGCCTATATGAATAAAATATACCTATTGGCTATTATAAAGAGATAATTTATAAAATGTGTCAACCATATACATATAATACATAATATGTATTTCGATTTAAATAATACATCGTTTGAAAAAAAAACAGATCATAAAATTTGGAAAATCTTCGAATACAATACAATATTAATAATAAAGAACTTTTGAAATTGTATTTGGACATAATTTTTGGGTACCAAATTATTTCACAAATATAACTGAACTGTCTCTGTGGATGACTCCAGTCTTCAACAAAGGAAATATAATATTTAGATTTACAAATTTACCTAGAATTTTAACTAGGTAACAGTTGAAAAATAATTGGCAATATTACAGTTATTAATTATTTCTATAGTGTTAAACTCATAAAACACAATTGATTCTAATTATTACAAATTAATTTAACATATTTTGTGTGCCCATGCCCCTTGGTGGTTTCATCTTAAGAATAGTAATTTATTGGGTGAAATAAAATAATAACAAACACATGAAACTATAACATATATTTTTTTGAAATCCTCATTCTGTAATAAAATTGAAATAAAACAAATTCAATAATTGTTTAACACATATTTTACATTATATAATTTATATATATGAATAAACACATGTATATTGTTTATAATATGTATATATAAATTTATTTTCTGTATTAAGTATAAGCTTATCATCAACACTATACATAATGTTTTGTAAATTTGATTTGTATAGACATTGGACAATTATATTTTGTTAAAAAAAAATATATTATTATAATATCAGGCCTACCCGCCTATAATAAACAATCATTTTTACATTTATATATTATTATGCTTCATATTACTTGAAAATTATAGTTTTGTTTTACATAAATATCTTATTAAAATGTACAACATAAATATAATAATATTTCAAGTGGTTAAAAACAATAATTCATCCCTGTTGACGGGTCTACCCTTAAAATGAGTTTATATTAAATATGATTAACATTTTTCGATTTAAGAACAGAAAAAAAAACTTATTACTCAAGCAGATACATAATTACTACTTAGTGTATTACAAGAGTATAATATTATATTGAGTAAAAATACATGTTTAAAAATCAAATATAATACATTATTTTATGTATGCATATATCATATACTTCTAAACTTTTAATTCAGCTCCAGACAAAAATATGTTTTTTAATTAGTTAGAAATTTTCATTATTGGTAGGTTATTACACTAGTTCAAATATTATATCATGTATGCTAAAAATCAATATACTAATAAAATGTAGCCACGTTTTTTTTATGTACAAAATATGTTTTATTACATCTGTATGAAAAAAAATATAAGTTAAAAAAGGAATAATAAAATAATAATAGTAATAATCATAATAATAATAATAATAATAATAATAAACCAACAAGAGAATTAATAAAAAATCCCGGAACTTAATCTTGAATGCAATCTCTCTTAATTTTTGTGTCTTTTGTTACGTACCATTTAAAAATGTATACTTTCATAGAAACAAAAATTAAAACTAATATACTGTGGTAAATAAATAAAAATATAAATGACACATTTTATGTTTATTTTAAAAATAAATAACACAACCGAAGTAGATAAGAGTGCGTTCACTTCACATGCCTTTCTTCATTCACATATTGAAAAATTGGTTGTTGAACTACTTATAACATGTTAATCCTAACAAAGATAAACTCAACATTTAAATGACCCCTAATGAGATGAATAACCATTATAACTTTTTTTTTTCGAGTAATCCTGTGAAAAAAAAATAGAATATTTGGTACAATTTGACATTAATACTTTTTTATGTGGTTTGTGCTCATTACAATCAATATTAAATCTATTTAAAGGTAAAATTTGATTTAGTAAAGCAGAGAGTATAGCTACATCATGGCTAGGGTTAAGAATATGGTGACAAATCTTGATTTTGTAAAACCGAGTTCATTCCACAAGTAGTAAACAAATATCATAATTCTTTGTATCACAATCAACAAAAACAAAACTTTTGATTAAATCGCTCTTTGGCTTATTTTTAACAAATTACAAAGTACATTAATACTTGGTTCGATATTAAACAAACAAAACACATAAATACAATAATAAGCTGCTTTTTTATAATAATAGTATCTTGATAAAGTACAGAACAAATGTTTAAAAGTTGATACACTTCAGAAATTAATATTTTCATACATCTAAATATGCCCAGCAGTAAAGTGGCCTAGAATTTTTTTTTTAATCACAATTAATATTTAATATATTAATGTATTTTATGAGTATTATTTATTTTTAAATAAATGTCACTAGTTTAGGCTGTTGTATAAACTCAAACAGCATAATATGAGTTTAACATAAATTATTTATAAAAATAACATTATTAAATCAAAACAATGAATTCACCTTAGTTGTTTAGACTCGTGTGTATAGAAATAAAATGGTCATCACAATTGAAACGATTGGCTAGCATTTATTAACATCAGGTGGTGTAGCTAGATATTCATCGGCTCTCTTATGATCATTTAATGCCCTCAAAGTGTAAGTGTCATGTGGTAATTCAGATTTACGCCTTAATAAAGGTTTTTCTTTTCGATTTTTACGGTTCTTCAAAAAAAAAAAAAAAAAGTTTTTTGTTAAGTATACAAAAATATTAATCATAAACTTAATATTACATCTGTATCAATATGATACTTGGTATCCTCTTCTAAACTTTTCAAATCAATAGTCGGGTCTAAATCATTAATTGGTGACCTTGCAAAGTCAGTATAAAATGACAAATTACTATCAATGGATACTGTAAAATTGGGATTCCTTTTAGCCAACTCTTCTACTCGATGCCACTTTTCATCTCGTTTCTTTAACTTATCCACTTCACTAAAAGGATAAAAAAAGGTGAAGAAATATTTTTAGAATAGTTATTACAGTTAAATATACTTACGTCTTCCTATCTTCTTTGAATTGTTGGGTGCACGTATGAAATAGTACAGGATTAGTTTCAGTAAATATTTTTAATGCATTGTACATTAGACCATGTATATTTCTGAAATAAAATAATAAAAATAATAGAAGAATTTAACTATTTTATATTTTATATTAACTACACATGATCATTGCATTATGTATATTTTACAGGATTTCAAATCATTCCATAAATTAGAATATTTTTAAAAATCTCACATTAACAAAATATAACCATATGGTTCCAACAACTGTGTTACACCTTTAATTAATTAAAGAAATAATTTTCCTAAATTAAGATTTTGAGATGAACACCAGTTGATGAACACTTTCAGAGATAGAAATGTGCTAAAAATTTAACACACAAGTATGTGAATCACAGATTTTGTAAAAAAAGAGGAAATATACAAACAAATACCATATAATAAAATTTTGAGCTTTTTAAGGTAAACCATTATTACAATCATTATTCTGAATGACTGCACTGAAGTAATTTGTACTTAGTAGATGTAATTTTTAAAGTTAATTACTTATTCCAATGAGTTTTAGAATTTTTGTATAACACTGGAAACATGATTGGCAAAATTTCATCAACATTCTCAGACATCAGTGACATTATGTACTCATTGTTCCAAAAGTAAAGTGCTCTCTCTGCAACCTAAAATATAAATAATTTTAATTAATATAAACTCAAATATGGTATATGTTATTCATAACAAAATTAAATTGCAATTTACATGTGTTATCAATAAAAAAAAAAATATAATGATAATTGTTTTTTTTTTATATATATAATTAATATTTATATACATTTTTCAGTTGTATTATAAATATTTATATTAACTTTTCAAGCTGATAAACTTCAGAAATCTTCATTTAATATATTTAATATAAGGATAATTGATTAAATTATTAATTTATTTGGCATTTATACTATGTTTTGCTTAACATAAATAAATATACTAACAAGTCATGAGTAAATAGTTTATTATTTTTTTTTTTTATATTATTTTTAATACTAAATAAGGTTGACAAGTGGGTACCGCTCTGCTGTACAGTAGTTATTGGGCATGTAATTGTAATGGATGAGTTATATATGAATTCTTCAATAAATCATTGCACACAAAAAAACAATTCTAAACAGAGACATTGTGGTATCCTAACATACTTGTATACAAAATCAAATATAATTTTTAAAAAAAAATTTACAAAACTAGAAAAATTTCCCATGGATATAGTAGCAGAAAAACAGTAAAAATACTTTGATAATGTTACTATGCTTGGAATATGGTCATTTTAACATTTGGTGAAAATGTTGAGTGTCTATCGTTGTTTTTGAATTACAACAAAATATCAAAAATCGATAGATGGAAATCTGTTAATTGACAGATAAAAATCCAATATCGTAAAAATTTTAAATTCAAAAGCTCATAAAAAACTAACATTTTCCGGTTAACTTTTTCTTTTTGTTTAAGGTAGAAAAACTTGTGGGAAATCTTCCAATGTTGGTTATAGAAAGAACAATTTTTATGAATTTCTAACAGAAAAAAGCTACTAAGAATATTTAATTTGGACCTTCCGAATGCACCAAAAACGTTCACTCTAATATCAGATAAAAGTTGCTGATGTCAAAAATCAGAGCATTTTTACCCGAAATGTTGAGGATAAAAAAAACACATCAATATAAATACAATACACATTCATTTGCTATGCTCAGAATCTAAAAGAAATTTTAAAAAAAATATTTTAAATCACAAAAATTATTAAATGATAAATTTACGTTTAATTAATGAAAATGAAAGTTGTGAACAATGTAGTTCAATTTAGCAAATTATATTACCATGTAATTATTGAATTATATTCAATAATAAATAATATTAACATATTTAATTAAGAATTGATATTAGGTGTTTTTTCAATGAGGTAACTATAATTTATATTAGTTTCTAACGCTTATAATACAATTTGTGACTAGCGATTATATTATCCTTGTTTAAATAATTTATAATTGCATATTATAACATAATAATTAATATTACATTATCTTTCTAGTCTTATTAAGTTTTTTTTTTAACGTTTTCTTATATACCTAGATGTTGCAACTAAAATAAAATTATATTGACTGATCTTCATAATTTATGTGTAGGTATAAATAATAAGTTATAACTAAAATTGCACTAACACACTTTATTGATGTAATATTCTACAAAATATTTCATAGATAAGTTGTATGAATTTACTTGTAAAAATAAAATGTTTAATTAATGACATACTTGAAAATGTTGACTAGAGACACATCTAGCTAATTGATGTATTAATGGCTTAAGCACTTTTCGAAATTCCAATGGTTCAATTATGTCCAAAATTTCTTCTAATTCATTAAGAAACATGACCTGTAATTAGGAAACCATAATTGGTAATTATTTATATTTGCAATTAAATACATGATATATTATTACCTCTTTTGGGGAATGTGTTTTTGGCCAAAACTTTAACAAACTTCTGATAACTGGTTCTGTAAGAGATGGATCTTTTTCAAGGAACTGAACAATACAATAAGCCAATTGTGGATGGTACACAGATAAAGATTTCACTTTATGTAAAGGCAGTAGAACTTTTAGCAAGAATACCTTGTGCTCCTCTTTCAAAGGCAATGCAAAACCATTGACAATGCTAATTTTAAAAAAATGTATTAAATACATAATTTAATAAACATACAAATTGAATATACCTTCCTAAAATTTCTAAAAGCTCTGCAATGCCATTATGATGTTCTGTTTCGTATATAAAACTATGAAAAATAAAAATGGATTAGAATTACATAATTACAAAAAAATATTAACTGTTTCTTATTAGTTTATTACCTATAAAATATGTTGTTTATCTGTTTTCGAATGTATGCTCGCAAACTTAAAAATTTACCATAAATTCGATGCAGTATAGTTTTCAAAAAGTCTCTCTCTCGTGGATCTTCTGAATCAAATAGCTCCAACAACTACACGTAAATAAAAAATATTTTGACAATTACAGCCCATTCTAATTAATTCAATTAATGTCTATTACCTGAAGAACAAATTTCTGATCAATATAGTTTTTAGCTATATGGGGCTGAAAGTCTTGAGACTCTAAAAACCTAAGGAAGAACTCATATACCAGTTGTAAATGAGGCCAGGCTGCTTCTAATAGAGGTTCGTCCTCTTCTGGATCAAACTCTGCGCCATTGGGATTACTTGATGGAGGCAGACTACGGAATAAATTTACTCCAAACTAAAATTTAATAATTATAGTACTAATGTATCAATATTTTACGTGTAGACTTGTATATAATATGTATATATATAGTATTAGTCCTTACCATTCTTACAGCTTCGGGGTAAATAGCTTCAGTAAGCACGTTACCGTGATTAGATGACAAATAGTCTACCATTTCATGTAATGTTTCTCGCTTGATTTCTTTCCATTTTAGATCAGACTGTGGATCAGAAATAAAGTCAAACAACACACAGCACTGTTGCATTTTCTGAATAAGCAACTGTTCTCTTTCAGATGAATTGGCTTCTGTAATTCAAAAATGCTTGTATTAGAAAACAATATAACATAAAGGCAACCTTTCCAAATTTCAATAAAATTTTCTAATGAATATTAAAATTAGTAACACAAATAAAATAAACCAAATAAGATGAAAAGTAAATATTTTATTCATCTAGTACTCAATTAATTAGCCTACAATAGTACAATTTTCACAGTCAAATATTAAAATGTATAACAATATTTTACCTCTTAACTGCATTATCAATAGCTTTCAAACTAATACTTTTTTTAAACACATATTCAATACATATCTTTATGAACAGAAACTATACTGTGAACATATTTTTTTACTAACGTTTATGTGGTCCAATTCCTTAAGATAATTAAATAGGTTTGAATATAAACAAATGCCGTGCTTCATTGCCAAATAACATAATAATAGTTCTACGGAGTATTCTCCATTAATTGTTTTAATGATTATATTTTAAACTGGTTAAGTACATAAAACAAGTGAAACTTTTTTAGTAACTAAATATAAAATTAATTTTTTTAATTATTATTGTTTATGTAAAATAAGCATATATTATAGTACTTATGCTTAATTCCAAGATATACTAATGATTGTACAAGGCAATATCCTGTTTCCACAAAACAATGATTTACAAACAGTAATACTATTAATAAGTATAAACATATTTCAAAATTGTATTGTGTTAATGAAAAAAAAAATGTATATTTACTATAGACTGGAATTTGGAATTTTTAGGAAAGTGAGTTAATTTCATAAGAGATTTTCCGAAAAAATAATATTGATTAGATTTGAGAAAATGTTTTAGACACGATTATAGCAACTATATAATATAATTGCCATTAATCCGTTTAATAAATGTTCAAAATCTTTTATCATCTATTATTTTTACGAGCTAAGAACTTCAAGTTTAAAAACTTCCTATTAAATACTATAGCTTAATTTTTTTACTGCGGCAAAATCAGCGCCGATCGATTTTAATGTGATTATCATTGCAATCCATTCTACAATAATGATACATCAATACTCCACATAATTGTTTTTTGTTTTGTGTCTGACTGCAAACCCACACTGTTCTGTGCTATTCTGTGTCAAGACAAGTGACTAACACCAAATCGACTGTCTGACATTGGCATTACCTCGTATGTTGTGTACTTTTAAGTGTTTACCGTGTCCTTATCCATCACAGGGACAGGGTTTTGATAATTTTATTGGTATTTAAGTTTAGGTATAAGACTTAAATAATTATATAGGTAGTGTATGATGAAATTAAAATCATTAACTCAGCTTCACCAAGATTATAAAAATAATTTTACTACGTGAGTGATGTACAATTATTAAATTCACTATTACGTTTTACTGCATACCAAAAAAAATGGTAATTGAAATAAAACATTATTTTACACACACCTACATGCATTCCACATTACGGTGGAATAAAATATGTTGTTACCTATAACAAATAAGAACACTAATACAGTATACTTATTTTCATAACACATCAATAATAATTTAAATTGGGTAAATAATATTTATTAAGAAAATCATAGAAGAATCATATAGAAATACTTAAAATAATTTAAATACATCCGTATATTATTATATTATAATGTATAAAGTTATATTTATAATAAGAAATAATTGAAATAATACAATTGTAATTGTTATTTTTTATAAGTTTACAGTTGAATAAGATTACCAATTTACCTCCCCTTATTGAATATTTATTAAAAATTAAATACGTCAATATAATACAGTCAAGTCTTATGACAATATATTATTTAATTTATAAATATTGGAACTATTTTTGTTCAACTACTGGCAAAATATTGAAGTGTGCTAAAAATAGATTGACGTTAGCTATAATTATAATCACTAAAAAAACGAGCTCATTAGCCAAAACAATTATCTGGGTAAAATATTTTATAATATAATTACAACTAAAAATACATCTTATATAGTGACAATATTTTCTTTAACCAATTTTCTCATATATTATATATCTATAATATGAGCCAAACGAGGAATGTATTAAGTATTAGTTTAAAATATTTTTTTATTTTGCTGAGTGTGAACCGTGGTTCTGAAATACAAACTCAATACATTTGTATACGTAGAATAAATAATGCAAATATATACATAAGAACCGTTTGTATATACCCAGCAATAAACTATTGAATTTCTTATTTACAATAACCAAAAAGCATCTTAACAAAATAATATTTAATGATAGCAAGTTTAAATTATGTAAATCTCACAAGGAGGTAAGATTTATACAACAGATTAGATTTCTAAAATTGCTTTTTATGTTCAAATGTTTAATATTAGTCCTTACTAATATGACTATAATAGTTTAATTGTCGAATTGAAAAAAAAATTGTAAATACTTCAGAAAAGTCTGTCGAAAAAAACGTTAACTTTTAATAGAATGTTGACAGTATTGAAATATGAAATTAGAAAATTTTAAATGTTTGTTTACAGAATACCTTAAAAAACCAATATTTTGACAATTGTATCATTTTAAGATTCATATCGAAAATTCAATCAAATATTTAGTTAAAGACTGATGTAAATCAATCCTTATGGAGCATTTGTTAAAGCTAATTCAATTTTTGTTTGTTAATTAATGGTAATTTATATAACTTTAATTTTGAATCTAAAAATAAAGTATACCTCCTACGAAGTATTATACATAGGTATTATATTTATGGGTATAATATAATATGTATAATAATGTAGGTAAATAAATAATATAAATATAATAGAACATAAGAATAACTAGTTTCTTGAATACATAAGTACATATACAAAACAATAAATATTTTGTAGTCATCACTCGATACATCAAAGCATAATATTATATTATTTATCAGCCTGTGCCAGGTAATTTGTTCAACGAATAAGTAAAGTAAGTATCCACTATTCACAAATCATACTATGATACCATGTGGAAATTTCGAAAAGACTTTAAATATAACCTTGAAGAACCAAAGTATTTATTAAGCTGGGCGACAAGACATACTCGAGTAATTTTAGATTCTGAGGGGAACAATGAACGTATTGATTTTACGATGATGTGTTTTTTTTGTGTCCGTGTTTACGATAAGTAGTTAATGTTTTGATTTTTAACTTAAGATTCTTTTCTGGTAGGAAACTTAATTTAGTTGGTACTTGTGAGTGGTCAAAAGTTAGAACGTAGAGGCCGGAAAACAGGCATTCTTATTCAAAACCGGTTTTTATAATTATTTTTTTTATTAATGACTTTTCCTGATTTTTCTTCATAAGATGTTATTAGTGTAATTATAAGAAAAATTAGAGCCCAGATTTGCAATCGAATTTTATGATCATCTAAAATTAGAATTTTGACAAAATTCGTCGAAATCAAAACAATTGAGAATTATTTTAAGTTAGAAATTCATACATTTTTTGTTTTTATGCCTAAGATTTGAAAATTTAATACAAAATTCCTCATAAGCATTTTACCAAAAAAAAATTTTACGGGAAAGTCAAATTAATCGATTATTGTTCAAATAATTTCACACAATTATTCATAATTATTAACACAGTTTTTCTTTAGACATTTTAAGTACAAATTTGAACAAAATTAGATATTTAAACGAAGAACAACGATATAAGTTATTCCTTTATAATTTAAAAATATTACTATCGGCACTTATACAATTATAGATTGTACTATATTACGAGATTAATTTTAAGCAATTGCCTAATTATACCACGAATCTATTCAAACTGTTCTATGGTAAGGCGGTTCTGACTTAGTCAATAAAAATAATACAATAATATGACAAAAATATTGACTATTATAATAATTTAAAATTAATTCATATAATAAATGCTATGTTTTTTGAAAAAATAAATCAACCTTCCATAATACGAATAGTAATATAAGATACTTCAATAGCAATTTCAAAAGGCATTAAGACAAAAAGACATATCATGAAATATACTTGACGTAGACTGACAGACCATATTATCCTCTCAGAACCGCTTTTCGTTTAGAATGATATAAGTATAACAGTATAACACTGAATTGGAATTTAACACATTCATAACAGTGAACAACTCGACACCTACTGTAAAATTGTACAGCAGAGCGTTACCCACTTGCCTACCTACCTATTTTTAAATTATGTTTTGATTATTTTTGTCCGTAAACTATTAAATTGAGATCCTTGGATATTTGTTATTTATGTATCACATATGTATTATAATTTATAAATGTCCTTAAATTAATGGTGTTTGATCTTGACTATGTGACAGAAAGCAGTATAATACCTAAATTTAATATTTTCTTGACTAAGGAATCTTAGGAAATGAAGACATAAAATTGTATTAACTGTAATAGTTAACAAAATAACACAATTTTTAGCACATAAAACATACTTACATATCTAATAGGTTAGAATGATGAAGGGCTAAAGTGCACAAGGTTGCTAAGCAATACAAACAGTTGTTATGCTATATGTGGTTATACTGGTGTATCATAGGGGCTTTACTACAGTAAAATAAGAATTTAAAATTGAAGGACGTAACTTAAATAACAGTCAATAGAGATACAATGTATGCCGTGCCATTAACTGTATGTTAAAATAAGTTTATAGACTTATAGTCACTTTAACAAAAACGTTCCGCCAAAACAATTTAATAAATATGTACTACAGTTAAATTAATATTTTCAACCAATTTGAAATTATGGCTTATTAGTTATTATTATCAAGTTCAGAAATCTTTTTAAAACTATATAATGTGTAATATTTTCGGCGAAAAAATATGAGAGAATGTTTTCAACGTTTTTCTGTACTTTTCTGTCACTAAAACAATAAAAAATAATTAAGTAATACCTATACACTAAGTTTGATACCTCATCAATAGTAAAATTAAAGTATAAAACAAATGATTGGTGAACATTTTTTAAATTTTTTATTCAAAATTCATCATTCATTATTGTAATTTATTGTAACCTATAAATAAATAATTATAAGTATTAACTTGTAAATGAATAAGTGACATTACACATTTTCTTATTTTTTTCAGAGAAAATCAATACATTTTATTCATTACTTTTAATGGGCAGATATGACCATTTCTACTTTTCATTTCATCGTAATAGTTTTTCAATATTTTTTTTTTAGATTTAACACTAATCAAAATATTTGAATAGTAATTTACTACTATAATATTTAATATAATATAATAGAGTACGGCATTAATGTTAATTTATACTTATTTTAGGTTGCTATCAAGCTGATAAATTACCTATAATATTATTTTATTTTATATAAAGTTAAATATTAATTAAATCAATATATAAAATAGCCACGGATAAATTACTATAATATAAGCCCATAGGTACCTAGTACTTTTGTAGGTACTTGAAAAATTACAGAAAAACATAATGTTTAAAAATAAAATTTATGTATACGTAGGTATTACGTCCTACATAAAAAAAAAAAAAATTATTTTATTATAATTTATTTAATTAGTATTTAAGTATTTTTACTAAACAAACGTTAAAATTTAAAAAAAATATTGTTTTATTAATATACATCAGTCATGCCCAACCCGCGGCCCGCGGGCCACATGTGGCCCGCCAAGGTATTCCATGTGGCCCGTTACAAATTATTAAAATAAAACAAAATATTCCAAAAAAAGTAAAATTATTACAAAATACGATTTTAATTAATTTATAAATAAAAAAAACAAAAATAAAAATTAAAAGTATATAAAAATGTTTTTATATTGCAACCTACTATGTGTACCTAACTAAATTGTATTAAGATTGAGATTATGAGTACTTTTATATTTGGTGGCCCGCTCGATTACAAATGTTTACCAAAGTGGCCCGCCGAGGAAAAAAGGTTGGGCATCACTGATATACATTATGAACCATGGCCCATGGGCAACAAGGAATATTAAATCTATGCTCATTTTGTCAACTATTTGAAATTAAGCAAAAAAACCATTACAACAATGATTTTAATAGGTGCTATAGAACAATGAAATACGAAGTCCAGGAATGAATATCACGTCAACTCTGAAGGGTTTTTCAACAACTGAATAAAAACGACATGAACATTTTAAATGATGGGTATGACATTTGAATTATAATATGATCAAAATTAACTTAAAGAATCAATACCAAGTTGATATTCTCATAATTTATTATAGAACCATAATAATCAATAGTTAAAAATAATTTTCAATGAGTGTAATTAAATAAATAATATTATTGTGTTAGCAATATTTAATATTTTAAATATTTATAAGTAATTAACATTTAACAAGAAACCTATTTACAAAATTCCACATTCCGATTGAGCCTTCAGCCTTGAACTTATTTAAACTTACGAGAATAATTATTAATCTATAATAATGTTGTATGATGTAAATAGGTAGATAAATATTTGGTTAATGTAAATTAATATTCATAACCACAAGCACAAATATTTTTAACCTTTAACAATAAGCTTGAAAAAAAAATAATTGTTCAAGTTTTGTTTTAGTCTAATGCTAATTTAGATCTAATTTCTATGTATCTAATGATTTTAATTTTCTAAACAAAATTAACCAAACAAATAATTGCAAATATCAAGATATGTTATTATTACCTACAAGGAACTACAAGATTATTTCGTGAAAACGATGTTCTAACAATATAGCAATGTTCCACATGATGGTTATACAACATTTCACCAACTCTACCAGGGATGAAGACTTATTGGTAAATATTGTTTTTAGTACATTCCATTTTTTTTTCCAAAATAAGGAGCTAGAAGCTTAAATATTTAGAATTGGTGGGAGTAAGGCATAAAAACATAATCCATTTGGAACTTGTGAGTTGTGAGCAGTGAGTTGCTTTGTAGCGAGTTAAATTTACTAAATGGTTCTTAGCCGTACCCTATATCAAAAATTTAAATTACGCTACTGGAGTAATTCCTATTTCAAGTTTATCATAACATTACATAATATGCGTATGATTTTCAGTATGAATTTTTAGGAATCTACAAATCTGATGCACATATGCTCAATTTGGAAGAGGAGGGGCTTGGGTATATTATTACTTCTTATCACACACAGATTTGAAAAAAGAACCTTCATAACTTTGTCGTTTGTGAATAATTAATTTTGTACATCAATAAATCAATATAGACACTGTGGCACCAAAACAAAAGGATTATGAATTTTCCCATTACCAAAAATAAAAATGTGGATACAACATTATGAATAAAAAAAACAAATACTTAAATTGAATTAATTATTAATCTCCCCAAGAGTAAAAATATTTAATCTTAAAAAAAAAAATTTACTAATTAGATTGTTTTATAACATAATTTATATTTTATTTAAAAAAACAGTAGTCGACATCGATTATATTGCTGTGACATGGTCGTTTACATTGTTAAAAAGTACGTAACAAGTAAACTAGAACAGACAGTTCAATTTGTGCCAAATATTAAAGTACTAAATATTCATGCTAAATAACTTAGAACCAAAGAAATGTTTATAGCTACTTACTACCTACTTATTAATTATAATCTAACAATATTTTTTGAATTACAAATTTAGTAACAGTAAGTAAATCTAGTACTGCATAATGATTAATGCTGTATAATATGCTTATGTACTAACATGATATGCATTTTATATTTACAGAAATTTAATGAAATTGTGCTTTTAAGTTTGTACATTTTGGTATATTTGTATCCATCATGTGCTGGAGCCAGGGCTCCTAATGGACCATTATGCAGATTCAGTTCATAGAAGAAAAAAGTATATAATTCTTGTTCACAAATCAATTTTACGTAAACATACATTATTTGCGATTATTTGTATATTGTTTATAATTACGGATACATATATTACGTATTTAAAAAACAAATTATTTGTTCTGGTACAGTAAATTTCACATTCTGAGCACTGGCTAAATGGTAAAAAAAATAGGTTAAGCCCTTCCCTTATATGAGTCTCTTGGGGGGGGGGGGGGGGNGGGGGGGGGGGAGAACATGGGTCTCAAGAAGAGACCTAACCCATATAGTCACAGCTTCATATTGTCCCCTATGTGATTATTGAATGTACCACTGGTGTAGGAGTAAATTCACCCGTTCATCGTGTAATCCATGATCACAAGAATAACTAAAAAAATAGGATTCTTCAACACCCACAGTTTTCCATTGAAATTGCACAAGTGTAACAAGAGTTCCAATCAAAATCATTGAATTTGTAACTTTGATTTTTATGTAAAATATAAATCATTTTTAGAAGCAATAAAATGATTCGTCACTCGTCATATATTTACATTTATTGAAGTGTTATTGATTCTCAAAATATACTACGTAAGTAAGTTGTAATATATTATAACATTATTGTAATAAAAGTTGTATTATTAAATATTCGCATTAGCACACGTCCAAGTGAAATGTGTGTGCATATGAGTTATTACTTATTAAATAAATAATAAACTGGCTCTCGTCATATACGACTCACCGTGAAGCCTGGGCAAGTGCATTGTTGGATCGCAAAACATAATGATTGGAGATTTTTCACGGCCAGCAAGCAGATCCAAACCACTATGGAAGCTTGGGCTTTTGGGCAGAAACGGTACGCCGGACTGCAGGTTACCCGCCACCGCTGCAGCAGTGCCGTTGGCAGTTGTGCTCAGTGAGAGCGTACGACCGCCCGCAGATTTGTTCACTACCATAATCACCGCGCCACAGGCTCTTAACCGTAACACCCATTTAAGATCATCTAGTTCTCGTTACCATAATATAATAACACCAACATGAGCACCGCCACAGCCACTAGGGGAAGACAACGGCATGCCACTTCAACGTTCCAATCAGAGAAAATAATTAGACGTTCCAAACGAAAATTGCATACATATGTGAGGACTTGTTCGTTAATTTTCTCGCTAAATTCGATACGAAATATATAAGAAAATTATTACTTAGTTTGAACGAGTTTATGATCTGTGTTCGATTGTAGAGTGTAAAAGATCAAACTACCTAAATATTTTTTTTGTATACTAATAATACGACACCTCACGTGTAAAGAATAAACTATCTAACCTACCTACAAACTACCTAATTAGGTAGTTGTTGTGAACAAATATGCATGTTAACTTACACTGTTGTCAATTTCAGTTGCAATAACTTAATAATATTTCAAATATTAGATGATTGCTGATTAGCATTTAAATAATATCCTATTATGATTTATGAATATTTTATTTTTAACAACGATATATTTAAATTAGCAGACAAATATAAAAACGTATTTTTTTGTTTTAGCTTGAATTTCATAAAACGTTTTATTATTGATAGCATATGTTAGTTATAAAGTACCAAAAGACCAAAAATTGAAACTAGATAATTCGTTACAACCTCCAGGCTTCAGAACAAAAAAATACATACAAATATCGTTACCTACTATAATTTAAAAACATAATACTGAACAGAGAAGAAAAAATATATCATATGAATGAGTAAAAAGTTCAAACCATAAAAGAATTCTTATGAAAAAAAGAAAATATAGGTACAGACGTAATGCCGGAAAATTGGGGTTAAATACTAGGGTTCTTAACGTAGGTATTCATATTATATTTAAAAGAAAAACCGTCCGTGACCCCACCCTCGATCGACCTTTTGGCATTTACCGAACTCCTAACGAAATTAACCACGAACGTACAAAATGTCAGCGAGAATCACCATCTACGCGATTTCCGTGTGTGTTACGTGAAAAGTCGTAAAAAATATGATAATATTATATCATTGTAATATATAACGACAATATCATTATGAACAACGAGCATAATATTATACATCTACGTCGAATGCCATTTTTACGCGATTACGGAGGGAAACAAACGCTATAATACCATTATGATTCATATTATTGTATACACTCTACAATCGACCGGTGACAATCAAACAATACCAATATTATTATTATTATTATTATTATTATTATTATTATTACAATAATCTTTGACGGAAATATGGAATCAAAAACTATTCCGACGCCCGTACCAACGTTTTACAGCTCTAAGGTCTCACGGTAAGATAATAATAATAGTAATAATAATATTTGTATTATGTGCCAGAATTATATTGTACAGAAACCTCGCGAGTGCGACGGCGACGGACGACACGATTGCGCGCGCGCGCCCCGGGCGAGTGCGATTTTATTGAATTCGTTACGATTTCGTTTGCCGATGAATTACTATTATAATTAGCTTCACGCGGGCGACAATTAATCGTGAAGGCGTACGGAGCGGATCGGCGACAACTACGATGGCCAAAACTCAAAACATCAAATGTTGTCGAAACGGACGCGCGCGCACGTGCATGGCGTTCCGGCGACGGTGTTTCGAGGACTAGAGCGGCGTCTGTGAGCTTTTGGTTCGCGGTGGATCGATGGTGGCGGCAAATAGGCGCGTGGGCGGTGCGGCGGGGTGGAAGTGACGGCTGGTAGAGTGGTAGAACGAGAAAGTGGTGACCGGGATGAGCGCTGCCATGGGGGTAACCAAGGAAACACACGTCGAACACCAGCCGCCGCCGCCACGACTAGCCGGAGTGTGTTGGACGGCTGTGCCGAACGCTAGCGGCGCCTAGACCGCCTCGCGTACCGACAAGCACGGCGACCGAGTGGCCAGATGTCGCTACCATCCCCGCGCGGGACACACGTGTGTGAGGCCACCGGCGTAACAAGTGTTGGTCGTGTTCCCGACCGGCGTGGGGCCACCCCGTTAGCGCCCGTCGGGAGCGAGAATCACAATTTACGACAAATTAAGTGATAATAATAATATGACGGTAATAACTAAAAAGTAATAACTAATAATGCGCATAGGCCACGTATAGCACACGAGTAAAGGTCCAATGTCGTTTCTCGTGTGTGTGTTGTGTATATGATTATAAATAGCAATGACGACGTATCCAACAATATATATAACATTATGTATAAAGCATATACAATGTAGGATGTACCTTTAGTCTTTACATAATCTAACTGAGTAGATCTAGTCTAATCTATTTTATGATTGGACTGTTCGAAGGTGGTTCATCGTAGGTGAAATTCGGGGGGTTGTCTACCGGTGAATTTACGAGTGTAGTATGCAGTTTACTGGCGATTTACAAATGTAGTATGCGAACTACCGTAAATGAAATTTTATTAGAAAAAAATTAATATCATGAGTAATAAAATAAATTAATTATTGGGTAACCCGTGAATTCTAATATATATCAATTGTCACTAAGTCGTTGTCAAGAATGTGGAATATTGTTAAATAAAAATCTTTTGCCGACATCTTGAGTACCTATATGCTTGCGTATAAATTATAGTGTCGCGCAATAAGTGACAAAATAAAAACGCAATAAGTGACTACTGAGCGTTTGAGTCCATACTTTTAAGAATTAACAGTGAAGCATTTTTATCGAAAGTCAAAAAGTGTAAGGTCATGATAAAGTGCATTGTCGGCAAGGCAATGGCAGCCTGACACTTGAACTTGGCCATTCCATTTTGGGGGGGGGGGGGGGGTCTTGTATATTTTTTATCTGCTTGGCGTGTTTTTGTGGGTATTTACAGAGTGGAGATTGTGTGAGAGAGTGTTAATTATTTATCGAAATACTAAGCCATGCGTAAATTTTAGGTGCAATTTTTCTTTGCCGCTCATGGCCATTCTAAGTTCCATATGGTAATGAAAAATTGTTTTAACAATACGTCATGTAAATTTTTTTGGGGCCTGTATTTTCATTATGGAGCCCCTTAAAAAAATTAATCCATGGACCTTAGATATGCCGGGCCGATACTGGTAAAGTGTTAACCAAAGAAAATAGATTAAACAGAATCTATTAAAGATAATCTTAAGCTCGTGTAAGAACCAGCCGGCCGCAGGTAGACCACATACGATAGCGGCCGGTAGAACGCATTTTCCGGTAGACCGCATACTATATGATAGCCATTCGGGGAAGCCCTCCCCGGATCCCCCCCCCCACATCAAATAAAAAATACAGTTTTTTAGTTTTGAAGGATCGAACCACCGAAGCCCCCTCGTTCACATTGATGTTAAAGATGTAAGCCTCACGGAAACTAATGGATTTTTGTCTATGGGTGGTTAGGTTAGGTTAGGTTAGGACCTATTTCGTCCTAGACCTAGCATATATTGTATGGACGTAAATATAAATTTATTTTTATATCGGCATATTATTGTTACGCGAAAGTAATGCGCAATATGTTTTAACAGTTTAATGTTAAATTATGATAATCCAACAACAACATAAAACTTTAACTGTGAATTGCGACGAGGAATGAGGATGACAGCACACTATTTATTTTTTCTCTCTCACCCATCCTTAACATTGTAAATTTGAGTTCAGTAGAACCAACCTTGTAGTGTTTGCTTTACTTTATGAGAGAGTTGACCTATCATCAAACTTAAAGTTATAAACATTATCTACATTCTTACCATTGATTTTTACGATATTTCAATTTTTATTAGAATTAGGTATGAGACTTGAGCATATAAAATGATACAATTTAAAAATGTTCATATTTTGCATTTAAATTAATGTATCAAGAGACAGGTTTATGTGATATAAAACAATAAAAGTATGATATGTTTTTGTATCATGGAATAAATGATAAACAAATTCCTCGAGAAACTTTTCAATTATTTAAAATTAAAATGCCGTTTACCAACAAATATTTTTACAATTAATGATTTTTTGTTATAAGCCGTTATCAACTATCAATAAATATCATTCTGTTGTATGAGCCCCAAGTTCATATTATTTACAAGGAAATGAATGAAGTTCATCAATTATAACGGTGTAATATTTATTGATTTTGGTTATATTTATTGTGACTTGTGTAACAATAGTTTTCAGTATAAAGAATTTAAAAAACATTTACAAAATCTCTAAAATTTAAAATCTGAACACAGATACATTTTGTTCAGACAATGACCAACCTATGGACTATTTTTTAACCACAATATATGAATTTATGAAAATGTTATTCATTAATCATTGTTTCAATGTGTTGCCAATACAAATATATTTTTACTTCTACATATGGCTAAATTATGAATTTAAATATTTTTGAAAAATTGACCCACTTTGATTTTCAATTATATAACTAAAAATGTAAATGTATTAATTATTTATACACATTACACATTTATTATTTGTATATTATTTGACAGTGTTATTGTGTTACTCAAGTGACGTAGGATAGTTACAGTGAGTATTTTTATAAGCTTTTTCAATAGTAACCTCGCAGGATTTTTTATAAAAATATGTTCATTGTATAAAATGATCATTAAATATAGATCAATTCTTTCAATATATTATAGCACAATATGGTTAATAAAAGATACAATTTAAATCTGATACATACAGATTGTAGTAACACTTTTTTAATTTTTTAATAATCATTTTAATTGTTTAGGTGACAATTAAATTTATTGAAAGTAGTTTTCAACGAGTGTTACAACAAAAAACGTTGAACTTGAACGTTACATTTTTTTTCTTAACACTTAATCTAAATTGGATACTTTCGTGCATTAATGAGTGAGAGAATCTCAATCTCTAACAATTAATTTAAATATATAAAAAATATACATAAATATGTGTATCTATAAACAAATCAATTGTTATTAATTAGTACTACCTGATTATCACAATATTTCCTAAAGTACCTTTACAACATTTAAGCTCTCCTCTAGAAAAAAGTTACCTATATGTGTCATATTCAGTTTTCTATCTTATAATATTCAAATATTTAGAACATATGCATACCATTGAGTGATTGTAGAACTTGAAGTTCGCGATTAGTAGCTACAACATTAAAACGTGAAGAGTTTTGTCTTTTCTCTCTTTTAATTGTAATTGGTCCTAACTTAAGTTTGTTTATTTGTGTCGGTGGAGGACTAGGAGCAGTATTTGAATGTCCAGTCGAAGTGCCATCTTGTACCTATTAAAATAATTTTAAAAAACATATAGTAACAAGAAAATTGAGTGTATAAAAATTAACAGTAAATAGAAGTATTTAAACAAATATTCATATATGAATACTAGTTGCCAATATGTTATTAATAATTCATTTTTAACATTAAAACTTAAACATTCTAGTACATAATTGAAATATGTCTGGTTTAACTAAATCAATTATAGAATAATTGACGGCAATTAGCTAATACATTTTGTTAGTAACAAATAACAATTATATTTTGTATGTTTGTAAACAGTTTATATTAAATAAGATGAAAATATCACTTATTTGTTATTTTTAATCTCTTCTTCAACCTTTTTACTAATTTCATTCCCATCAACCAACATTTCACTATTATAAACCCAATTATCAATCAAATTTTTCCAGTCACAAGAATCAAAATATTTAAACAACCACAAAATTTGATCTGCTAAATCAGAAATTTTGAGACTACTTTCTTACATCATCATGTTGATCACTATAGTCTATAATAGATGTATTCAATTTGAATTCAATGATAAATTGTTGTAAACAAACAACTAAGTCTCTAACCTACTTAGAGACTGTTCATCAACCTCTATTTTTCAGGATATTTAATAATATATTTAAAATGTACATTATTATAACTTGGGTTACCACACACATACATCCTGGTTTCACCAGGTTTATATATTTTAAACAACTGTAAGAGCAACATACAAGGAACTTTGCATTATATTTTTGTGCTTTTTGAATAAAAATAAATTGTAATCAACATAAATTAATAAAAAAACTAAAAATGGTTGCTTATTTTGTTTTTTTTCTTTTAACCTTATCCTTTAACCCGAAGAATAAACCAGGTTAAATATTAAACCAGGAATCACCCATGAAGTTGAAAATAGAAGCAGACTTAATGCTTCCATAACCTAATGACTGGCACATAAAAAAAATAATCATTGTACAAGTGTAAGCCCAATACACAAGTGTACCACAGTATATGATTAAAACTTCTAAGTTTAATATTTAGTTTTATACAATTACTATTACAAGATAGTATACTTTATTATTAGAATACATAATATTAATTTTTATCACAAATTATTGTATAAAAATAAGTATTTTTAAATGGTTTTCATAACAATCTATCAACTACCTATATCCACTGTCTATTATTTGATATAATTACTTATTTAAATATTTAAACTTTTATACTATACTAAGAGAATGAAGGTCAGAGCTTGTGCCCTTCAAATAAAAAAAAACTGTATTGTCTAATTAAAAAAAGTAATTATCTATAATATAGGTCTTATTTATATTTTAAAAATAAAATTTGTATTTTAATCAGAATGCAAGAAAGTAAAAAAATTTTAAATTTCAAAATGAATAAACTAAAGTGAA